TTTTGTTTTTTATGCGTCACGAAAGTTCTTCGAACAGACTGTGCAACACTTGTCACTGGGCTACATCCCTCAGCGATTTTACTCAAAGATAATCCTCACCCATTGAGCCCCGAAGCAGAAGGCGGGATGCACTAATCGAAGCCATTCTCGAAGCTAACTTTCCATCCCGCTATGCCAAGTCCTGGTTTGACTACCGTGTTGGTACATTCACTATAGTCCAGGATGTGCAAAAGAAAAATGGAAAGGTAGACGATTGGTAAGAATAGTTCAAACATGACCGACACTTCGGAGTCGATAGTGAGCGATTTCTTATTTCACTGCATCCAACGCGTGATGACGAACTCAGTCATTGCTGACTTAACAATCCCATCACATAGGAACACCGTTTCAAAGATGTCAACAGCTGAATAGAAAAATAGCGAAAGCTAGAACATCTTTCGCCAACTTGCGATACCTGGGGCGCCGCCATAACATCCAAATGTCCCTTATGGGAAGCCCGACTCACTGCCTTCTCGTGGCAGACGTGATTTCGCACCAAAGTGAGAGGACGAAAAGCCGACATCCGGGGTGAACCATTGGCAGTTCACCTAGGGGAGTTGGCTAAAAACCCTAATTCCAAACCAACCAAGAAGAGGCGTAAGAACCACACGCACACCTTCCTGGTCGCGGCAGTGGTCACCTGCTCAACTGGGCACCGTGGACGTTCGACCCCATCCAAAGGGCGTATGACCCAGTGAACTGGACACCGGCCCCTAATGGACTTCGGACTCTGAGCTCCGTCCTGTTACCTTGCAGGTCTGGCTCTCTAGCCAAAGGCTTCGGGTGGGTACCTCCGAGGTTATCCCCCTTCCTCGACCAGGGCAACCGGGAGGTAACATGCCCACACAACCCATGAACACATTCTTCAAATTTCTTTCTGTTCATATGTCGTGGCACATTTGCCAGTTCTCTGTAATTGGTTACGTGTTGAATAATAAGGGAAGGGTGTACATCGCCGCGGTTCGTAGCGTTCTTTTTTATTACACACCTGTGTGATGAACAGCAGTCGGGGCGGACCCCACAGTCACGAAGACATGCTCTTTAGTGATGGTAACCGGAAACCTAAGCCCTGGGGCTTGTGATGGCGTGGTATAGAACCGGGTGACAGCAAAGCTGCCTACTACGTTACGGTTGCGAGACCTGACCCCTCCGCTTTCTGTATTCGACCACCGATGTCTCTGAAGTATTCTTTCTTTTTTCTTTTCATTTTCACTTCCTTTTATTGAATATGCAATGATGCCATTTTCAGGAAGGAGGAAGCGGCCAATCAAAGGGCTACCGTACAACACACAAATGGGGAAAGTCGGGCGGTTGTGGTAAGGTTCGAACACTCGTCCTCCGGGGTGATAATTTGGTGACGTTACCACCGGACTATCACCGCCCAAAGAGAACGGCCGCAACACCCGATCACCCATGCAAGTACCAACCGGGCCAGACGTTGCTTAACTTCGGTGATCAGAAGAGAGCTGGTGTTTCCAAAGTAGTATGGTCGCGTCTGGTGGGAAAATCGGATGAGCAATGACGGGGTTCATCGTCGGGTGTTTGTCTACCTAAACGGCGTCAGACGTCGAAGTATAATGGAGGCTAGTAACTTGGTGACAATTGGGACCAAACTTATTCCAAGATGGTTTGCGCAACCATAGCGAGATCCTTTCTTAAAAATAGGAACGATCAGTGATTTGCCCCAGGATGATGGAATGCGCTCGTGTAATCAGATGATACGCATTACATTAGTGACGGAGTCTACAAGGTCGCCACCCCCCCCCCCATCTTGAAAAGAGTGAGAGGAAGCCCGTCTGGTCCTGCTGCTTTTCCTTTCTTCAGGGCTTGGATGCAAGAACGAACTTCTGCTGCAGTAGGAGGTTCAGATGACATTGCCCACTAAGCCTCAGCTACATCGGAGGAGAGCCTGGTTAGCGCCGGACCAGCTGAACTGTTCGGTCAAACCGTTGTTCCCTATTGTGAAAAGCTTGCCCAATTTTGTCGCAGATTGTCTCACTAAATGTGGTTCGCCGACCTCCGTATTGCGTATCAGTTGGAAGTCTTTGACTATTCCCTAATGCAACTGCTACTTCCATTTCACGAGCTATTGTTACCCACCAGCTCTCACGGTCTTTCTTGAGGCTCCTCGTGAGTTGACGTTGTAGACGCCACCTAACCCTGCCTTGATCCCGGTTGATTGGAATTTGCCGTTTTTTCCCCAGCAGTGGGACTGACTGATCAGATATTCAATGCCTCAGGCGAGCTATTGTTTCAAATCAACGAGCAACGTTCGCTGCACAGTGCATTGCTAGGCTAATCTGATCCCACTGTTCATTTACTACCACCCCGCAATGTATTTAGCCCTTGCCCTAGTTCTGATTCAGAACGGGCACAAACAGCTGGTTCAGATAAGCGATGATCTGCCAATCGAGTTTGGTGGGAGTTTCTGTGACCTGTGAGTTGGAGAGTGAACTGCATCAAAACTAACGCATGATCACATTCAACGCAGGTGATCCAATAGGAACTGCAGTTTGGTATTGAGCCACGCCAACGGTAATCTACCGCTGTGGTTGATCTCAGTTAGAGTGCCACTTGAATTTGAGCGCCACGTTGCTGTCTATTGAGAGCTGTGTTGGAAGTTGGTGCTGGATAGGAACAGATGACGATCTGCGCAGAACTGAAGAAGTTGATCGCCATTATCTGTTCGCCGGCAGGGTAGTGCACAATGACTGTCTAGGCAAGCTTCGGATGCACTTAGTTTTCCAACTTGAGCGTTGAAATCCCTTGAGAGAACAACAATATCGGAGCTTCAGCTCAACCGAATGAGTCCGGTGAGTTTGTCATAAAACTCGTCTTTTTGTACGTTGAAACGATGAATAAACATCTTTTGGTGTTGCTTCCCTCACGGACGCTGATACACCCTTGGAGCCGCATTGCACATAAGCGGCTGTTGACGGGGATTCAATCGAGTAGAGCGGCTTCGGCTGTATTATTCAGTATTATTTAGAACCATAATCGTCCTCCTGCTTAGTGGTTGGACACCCTAGCAGTACCCGTCCATCAAACTCGAATACATACACAACCAAAAAATAATTCCATACTGCATCGGTCGTCGCGCAGGATAATCAAGACCGCGCTGCCCATTGCATAGAGTGGGATGGATAGTGATAAGTGGGCTACTGCTCAGATATCCCAATCTTTGTTCAACTCATTTTCTTCCGTACCCAACTCCTTCCCTTTACCCCTTCTTCCAATCTGTAATGGTCCCTCAGGCAACTTGGATGTAGCTCGCCAAAGGTCGTTACCAAATAGCAGTGTAAGTATTGTACCAAGAAATGAATTGC